GCAACAGTTTACTAACCACTGTGCTTCCAGTAATGCACTGTAAATGCTACTGTAGTCAGTTGCTCCAGTAATATGCTGCAAATGTGTGTTACAGTAAAGGTCCTGTAAATCTGAAGTAATTCACTGTACATTTACAGTAACATACTGGCTACTGTGCTGCCAGTAATTTAATGTAAAAATTACAGGTAATGTTTTATAGTGCAGATCTCAGCTTAGGTGCACTACTTTTCATGGTGTCATTACACAATGATAGTGTTTTGAGTCTTTTCTATTTTACAGTGTAGGCTACATTTGAGGGGAGTTAGCCAACTGTTTTCAGAAGCCTAGGCCTACATGTACAAAACGAAAATTGGCAAGAATGGAGTTACACGGTTTCATCCAACAGTGTGTGCATAACAGTGACAGAAGGCATTACTGACAGCATGGATATATATATAATTAATGTATGATGTTATAGCAGGGACACAGTCAAGCTTTCATCAACACACCCCTCTTGTGTCCTTTGGTAAACCACAGGATTTGAACCTGGGTTGTCTGCGCAGTCAGTGTGCCACAATACTGTTAGCCCGCGGAGCTAAAGCCAAACCATTAGGCTATTCATCAGTGTAGTTCACTGAACCATCTCTTCTACAGTTGTGTGTGATAGTGTGTGTGTATCCGTATCATTTCGTTATGCAGAGACTGTCTGATTGACCATATTGGGTGTGGTATCTAGCACACACATACACACAATTCCTATCCGGCAAGCGGCGCGGCTGATGCGTTTCGCGCATTTCCTGAAGCTTGCGCTCACAGTGAAATGGGTGAGCGCGCACAGGGAGAGCGATAGAGAGAGAGAGAAAAACGAGAGAGCGATTGAGAGGGATCGACAGTCTGTCACTGGTTAGCTCTGTTAGCCGTGGGACCCACCGGACAAGCAGACTGACATCCCGGGAAAAAAAGAGAACCAGCGCCGATAAATAGCCGACTGATTTTATCGGAGCTGTTTAGGCTACTGAGCTGGAGCTGCTTACGGCACCGGACACGGTGGAGGGATCGCGGGTGTCTAGGTCACCTCCCCCGCCCGGGTCAGAAGCTGTTCTACCGGGGACAGTCTACGATCAGATGATCAGGACTGGAGCTGTTCTCTGTGATTCTTCATCGGTGTTCTCTCCTCTCCTCCCGCCACCGAGACCGCTTCCATATTATTTCCGCTAACGATAACCTTCCTTATATCTACCATCTGCACAGGACAGACTGTAAACAAACACAGAGGGCACCGTCTGTCGTCTGTCCTTCCCGATCTGGTTTAGGCGCGATCAGGTTCGGTACCGGACGGTGTCCTAGACTATTAGGGGCGAATAGTTTTTTTTCTTCTTTTAAACTCATGTTAACTTTTAACATTACCGTGTGCGTGAGACAGTGTGTGTGTGTAGGCTATGTGTGTATCTGTGACAGTGTGTTGTAACTGTCAGAGTCTGAGTGGTTGAATGGATTCTTGGATGTAGGATCACCCATCTAATATGGTGACTAGTTAGAACTAACAGACTAACAGACAGACAGACCATCTGCACACACACCCCACCATGCCAGTGTTCAGTGGGTTGTTGAAGGTGCGTGTGTGTGAGGCGGTGGATTTGAAGCCCACCCCCTGGGCACTCCGCCATGCAGGGGGGAAGAACTCATCCTCATTCCTCCTGGATTACTCCCCTGGAAAACTGGACACCTAAAAAACCAACTACGGATAAACCTAGCCAGCCACACCTGGTACAGAAAATAACACACCGACACATAACTTAGGCCACCAAAAACTGATCAGCTCTACCGTTTAGGGCCATTAAGGTTCAAAGGGGGGGTTTAACCCCC